CTATTCCATGGTCTTAAATCTTCTATTTGCTGTTTATTTTGACATCTTTAATTAACAATCTTAACTTTCCATGATTTTGGGGTTTTTTAGATTTTTTTTCAGTATAATGATAATAACCATCGAAAATAATGGGCCTGCTTGATTTGTCCGCCGATAGGTGTGCCGGTTTCTACTACGGCGTACGCCGGTCAGGTTACCGTATCGAAGCAAATCAAGTGACCCGGCTGATAAGCAATATGGCGTCGGATAATGTTATAACATTAAACCGGTTACATGACATGTTTTAATCAAAAACAGTATTCTTGAAAGTATGACTTGAAAGTGCCCGCAAAATAAGCAGAAAATTATTATTAGTAATATTACTGAGAAAAAATAAATGACATATGAACTTCTGGTTTTACGAAGCTCAAATTCAACTTCAAAACATTTGGTTTAATTTTAACGCTTTAAAATTAGTGTTTTATGGCATTCCTAAATAACGTGAATTTTATCTCTTTGACATGTTCACCATCTTGCGCCGGTGTTCGCCGCAGCCGAACTTTTATCGACTTCCGGTGAAATCAAGTGACCTCGCGCAAAAACTGCCGAACTGTGGTCAGCCGGCATGCGCCGGTATTGACAAATCAAGCAGGGCCAATGATTGTTGAGATCGATACTTACCTTCTATGCAAACAAATATCATAATATATATGATGTATGGCATTACTTTAAACCAAATCATCTTCATCTATCTAACCATGTTATGTTGATAAAATTAAGGCAGGCGCTATCACTGATTTTATATCTTTAAGAGAAAACGGTGACAATTTAAATGATATAATTAATGAACTTTGTACAAACTGAATTTAAAATTATGTATATATTAAGGTCAGATTTATGTGTGTGTTGATACTTTTCTAATTGTACTTATTTTGTAAGAATAAATCATTATTATTATTATCATTATTTACCTGGGTTTTACCTGAAAATATGTGTCGTCTATAAAACAGGAAATACAATAAGAATTCAACTACCCACGTCATGCTTTGCAAAAAAAAAACAAATCCGAAAATCTAACCACTAAAATGTACCTATTCATTCGAAGTCATAGACAAAACCAATGCGATTTTTAGTAGGGATTCAAAACTGTCCAATAAACAATTCTGAAAACCTTACCAGTTTTCTTTCTTCGTAAATTATAAATCTATGAATAAGAAAATGAAATTAAATGAACTCTCCCATGTACATTCATAGAAAAATGCGGAACTTTTTCAATGCAATCAGCAATAACACGAGAAACCGAGAAACAACACCAACAAGATTTTTTAGAAAAAGAAAAGTATAGCTTAAATAATTCTCTACAAATATAATTCTCTATAACCAATGATAGCACTGCAAAGGAGCAATCAAGTTATTTTTATCGGTAGTGGTATGAATTGTCTTAGAAAGATAATCATAACTCGTACAAGACACCCATCACTACTGGCAGTTAAGCGAATTCTGTGAACAAATACATTAAAAATGTATAGTCAATAATAACCCGAATAAACAAAGATCAAACATTTGATTGAAAATTTCCAAATATTCTAGGAAATCCACTAAACTGTTGCCAGTTAAAATTTTAAGTTTAACAATTGATGTTGCTTAAAGGAGCTAAGTCGTTAATATTTGGGACCTAGAAATTGCCACAAATGGGTCGCAACGCATACAGTAATGTAATATGAATGTATATAAATTGATTAACATTCAATCAACTCTGTTTTTACTGTAATTTTTAATCAGTTAGATTCGGCGAAATACGCCAGTATTCTCAATCGAATTTCAATCTCTAGCGTCTGGTTATTCCAGTCTAAGCCGATATTATTTATTAGGCTTGCTCTCCAGATAAGAATATAGCGCCACCGTTTGATATGACTTGTGGAATATGACTAGCCTTGTTTTTAGAGTCCCTTATTACAAATAGCGCTGAAACGCATTATGGTACACGATTCGTGTACCAATTGTAAAATGTTTATTTTGTCTTAAATATTAGATATCAGAAGGCCATCTTTTCCCGGTAATATCACAACATCAATGTTGATTTAAACCGACAAATAAATCGTGTTTTCAATGTCGAAGATTTAAGATGAAATTGAGTTAGAGACTTAGCTACTTTAAAATAACCAGAAGATAGGAAATAAAATCACTTTTTATTTATGGCGAGGGAGATCGGTTCAAATTTCAATATTTAATAAATACTACAAATTAATAGTTATAGTAATCGTCTTTTATGGGCAGTTTCGTTCTCAGTGAGATGTATTCTGTCATTTAAAATTGGTTTCGACCGGTATCTCGAATGTATTAGTTTAACCTATTTTGGGACTGGACCCCGGCAGATGCCTATTTCTGTACATCCCAGGTTAGTTTGTAGATGGCTATATGGTCAGATATTGGTACCTCGTTCGTCTAGGTTCGACTCTCTGGGCTCCCGGTTTATAATGGTAATAACAATGATAATGACTTAGGCATTTCAAATATTTTGCAATATTCAATAAACATAATCAATATTGTATCGATAAAACTCACCTTATCGACTTTTCTCTGTCCACAATTAAAATGTGCAGTCTACTGCCTTGAAGGATTCTGCTGCTTTGTCGACTCAATGCGAATCCATTTACTGCTAATATTTAAAACATATGAATTTATATTAGAGGTGTCTGTATCTGGGCCATGGTGGGTGCTGACGTTTCCAACCATTGACCAATCATAGAAAGCCTCTTCGCGAAACTCCACGATGTTCCTTTTCAGTTGTGTAATTCAATTGAAAACTCCCCCATTGATTCTTCATCGCAATCAATTTTTATTCGCTGAAAGTCGGATGATATAAAAATTGCCAATAATAACTCGTTTTAATTTACTATCCCTGCTTTATATATATATAAGGTATCTGATTACCTTAGTATTATAATTACTATACCAGGACTGGCTGAAAAGTTCTAAGCCTGAAAAGGATAGATCAGTTGGGTTGAAACAAACTTTTGCAAACAACAAGTACAGTCATTGAATGATTACTGTAGTGTTATTATTGTCGTTGTACCAGACCATCGTGTGATGGCTGATCGACGATTGACCACTCGACATATTGCCAGTCTTGTGGGCATCTGTCATGAAAGGGCTAAGCACATTATCGCCAACGAATTAGGAATGACAAAAGTTTCTGCAAGATGGGTGCCAAAGCTCTGACTGCGGGCCAGAAACGTGTAAGATTCCTGACGCCCCTTGACGATCTGTGCCGTTTTGAAGCAGATCTTGATAATTTTGTGGCCAGATTTGGCCTCGTCAGACTTCCACCTGTTTCCTGTTTCCACAAATGAAAAAGGAACTAGTCGGTCATTATTTTCTTAGTAATGATGACGTCATGTCAGCTGTGAACGACTCTTTAAGGGTTGTCGAAGAAAATTTCTTCCAGACCGGCATTCAGGTCTTACAACATGGTTGGCAAAAGTGTGAACACCTCGAAGGGGACTAGCAGAAAATTAAATGGAATCCATCGACTTTGTACAGGTCTTTCACATAAAGAAGTTTTCAGCCAGCCCTAGTAAATTACATTAAACTATGCACATATACTTAACGGTCGAACGACCCATTCTGTCCTTAATAATTAAAGGTTAATTTAAAAAACAGATCCTATTTCGTTTCAATTTTATAGTTCAAAATTTAGTTTTACTTGTCTTTACAAAACTAGGATCTGGAAGAGTTGTTATCATTGACGTGTTCTGAATGGTGTGAGGAATTAGCCGATGAAACGGTCTGTTACGGCGAGCTTTGGGCTTTAGGAACTGTGGGTAATCCACAAGTAACATCAATGCTGATTGGTTAATCTGACGTCATAGGGTCAAAGGCCGTTCGTATGACCTCTGACGCGACCTATCTCTACAACCGGTCAGATCTTCATGTATTGTAGGCCATCGAAATTATAAAAAACGAAACAAAATATAGATGTGTATTTGAATCAGATTGTATTAAAGTTGAGTGAAATGTAAAACTAATTAACTGATCATATATTCTCGGTTATGTGTAGCGCGTTATTATATTTGATTCTACAAATACATTTAGTTTTACGTAAACTCTTTCCGAAAACAGATACCGGTTCCATGATACATAATTTCCAAGGTTCGGAGTGTACTTAATACGCCAGACATCGTTTCTATCAATACTTGATACAGATTTTTTTGGTTTATATTTCGTAAGAAAATCGAAAGTTCTCATTGAGCATCAAATGTTTTCAATTATTTAACCCGGAAGGGTTCTTCAGACATAACAACAGTCTGGAATGGCCCCCAGTCTTCGATTATATTAAAAGGTATTAATGTGATAGCTTCTATAGGTTACTATAAATCATTTATAACTTGTATTTATTCATCTCCGTTTGTCCAACTTTGTCTATCTGATAAGCATCACTTATTTTCAATGATTTTGTCACTGGGGGGGTTCTTCAGATAGTACAAAACTCTTGAATGCTCCTTCAGTCACTCATACTAGATACATAGATATACAGGGCGACCGCCAACTGACTGATGCCCAGTGCCACTAAGACTCCACTGTCAATGTGCATTGACATGTATTTATATTGATTTATTAATCACGTGACGTGCTGAATATAAAACGATTGAAATGAACGATTACAATTAGCTAATAATTCATTGAACATGGGATTATTTCATCCTTGTACCGACACACAGACACTATTAATCTTTTCAAATATTAATTAAATACTACCCTCAATACATAATTTCATTTAAACAATTTTCTCTTGAGATTAATAAAAACATCAAGTTAATAAAAACATCAAGTATTTTTAATGATTTGGCACGGTGGGGATGGGGGGGGGGTCTTCATATATTATAAGAGTCTTGAATATACATGCATTCAATTATGGAACTTCAGAATATTTTATAGGGTAAATTTATCAGCACTGGTTTATGGGGTATTTCCAGACACTCCCTCAAACAGTGGTTTGATTAAAAACCAAATAGGACTAGTTTTAGTTTGAGAAAGAGAGTTTATTAAAGCATTAAATTTACATACAAACAGAAAGATTGTATTAACATCTACATTTATATAACATAATGTAAAAATACACAATATAACCAATTATAATCAAAAACATAATATTTACAGTAAAATAGCACTTATACGACGCCGTGGATTTCATGTTTTTATTTGGACAAGAATAGAGCTTTTACGTAAGTATGAATGCCGTACCGTCCTTCTCGCCCAACCCGACACTCGATCACAGATGTTTTGTCAGCCTGTTTTCTATTTTAAAGTCACAACTCATTGTATTTATGAATCTGATTGTATTCTCTTTACGACAAAATAGCTTCAAATGTCAAGTGTTAAGGGTCATATCTTGGTTTCAGGACGTCTGAACATTCTACAGACGTTAAAATTACATTATGTTTAAAACATTATTTACAAAATAAACAACCACCAGAAAGAATTCGTTTTGTAAAAAAAAGCAATAGTGCAGTATTAAAACAATACATGGAGGAAATTTTAACACATCGATGGATATAATATTACATTTCAATATGAATTAAAGTCTGTCCATCAACCCCCACGTGACCCCCCCCCCCAACGTGACTCTTTCAATGTATAGTAATTAAATAATGAATTTACAAAAGCTGTGTGCTTCTCTCGGGCGCTATTAGTTAGCTATAATCACTTCTCAAGTCAATGAGAAGTGACATCAAATGGTCTGGAAAGTGTAAGTATATATAGGATATTTCAAATTTTCACGAAACTAAGACTAAGACGAAGATTTGTCAGTACAACTGTAAGTTTGAACAGGTTAGCTGATTATATGACTGTAGGCATGTGTGGATATCTTCATTAGACTTCCCCCATGGAAATATTTTAAAACATTGTTTCACTAAAGGTTATAAATAAAGAGTTCGTCTTCAGAGATCTTTCGCTGATTCTTTTAAACAAGGGTCGGGTTTAACGTCCTCTTCCACACATGATATTTTTTCTGTAATTGCCATGCGTGTGTATGAGAATCTGAACGACGTTAAACAATACCCAAATGTACACTATTATATCTCAAATTGGTTTCCCCATTCCCAATCATTCAAACTTTGGTCTGAAAATCTTCAAAGGTTCACTGTGTGAAGCCATTGTTTTTTATTCACCGAACAATTATCATCAATGTTGGCTTCCTATTTTAGTATTTTAACAATGGATTCATTTTTTTAAATAGCCACAAAGAATCTCTTTCTGTACATAAGATAAGCCACGAATATCCAGATGGATGTTCCCCATACATCTTGTAGTAATAATTTCCAGTGTACAGGTTCCAGCTGCCAATTGATCGGAAATTCTCGCCAAAATACGCCATGACAGACGTAGATCACTATGGAATTCATTCCTGAAAAAACAAACAAGGACTTTAGCTCACGTTATTTTGTAATATAGGAGATTAGAACAAAAGTATAATCTAACGACATCGATGTTAGCAGGAAAGACAAAATAATCTCGACTATTGCCACGAACATTGGGTTACCTATACTACCTATGTATAGTGGGTGGGTACGATACTATAAGCTTACAATTGTATGAAACGTATACAAGAAATATCAAATCGGGATCAACCCGTATACAAACGATATCAAATTGTATACAGAAGATATCAATCGTATACAAAAGATATGAAACGTGTATAAACGAAATCAAATCGTATACAAAGGATATCAAACCATACAAAAGATATAAAACCGCAAACGGATTTTATCTGGTTTGGGTAATAGTTTGTAATAATTTTATCTGGTTTGGGTAATAGTTTTTAATAATTTTCTGTCTTGTTGTCCCTTTAAATAACATGGATATCTGTGACGTATACAAATGATATCAAACCGTATATAAGCATATTAAATCGTATACAAAACATATGAAACGTGTATAAACGATATCAAAACGTATGAAAATCTATTTCAAAACGTATGAAAATCTATTTCAAAACGTATGAAAATCTATTTCAAAACGTATGAAAATCTATATCAAAACCTATGAATCAAAACGTATGAAAATCTATATCAAAACGTATGAAAATCTAAAGATTAATTCACAATTTGTTGCTTTAATTGTTTCAATCGGTGTAATATAAAACTAAGCGTACCTGGATAAACAAATGGTCCACCCTTCCACCATTTTAAAACATCCATGACAATATAGAGCACTGAGAGCAGTATAAAAGCAAAACAAGCCGTAACCATTATAAACGATACCGACCTGAAAATATACATAGGTGTACAAAAACAATAAGTACATGAATTCGGGTTTAGGGTTCTCCTGAACCTACCGGGATGATGATGAAGGCAAGGGGTCGTGTAATTAGTAATAAGCGATAGTCGCGTTTCGGGTTACTCTTTATTGAATTCTAGCAACTGACAAGGTTTGTTTTACGTATACGCCCACGGTACCTTGACAACTTGACGCTCTAGTTAGCCAGACCCTCCGCCCTACACAAGTGACCGGAATCTCCGTCCTACACAACTGACCAGACCCTCCGCCCTGCACAACTGACCGTACCCCCCGCTCTGCACAATTGACCGGGAGTGGTTTCAAACAGATTGGTTATAACAATAATGAGCAAGTCTAACAGACTGTAATATTTAGCCTTGATCAGATAATAGTTTGCTGTTCCTATATGTTATTGATTTCAGTTTTAATATACCAGAAATCATTTTAAAAGAAATTATAAAAAAATATGTACAGGTGAAAATAAATATAAGTTACCATAGATTTTTATTGACTGGTATCCATCCATCATTCTGGCTGCCTTTACATAATAAAGCACCAATACCTCCCTGAAATATACAATAACATGGGGGAATTATTTAATAACTCTGTGAAAAATACATTAACATGGAGAATTATTCCATCCTTTTTCAAGTGAAATAAAAAAAATTTGTTTATATAAAAAAAAAAAAATACTTCCCTTGAATATACATTGTGAAATAGAGACTCCCTGAATGGTTTTTAACGTCGTGTCACCGCAAGACTTGGGGTACATTAGGACCAGCAACGGTTACACGTGCAATAAAGGGAGTGGGAAGTTTGGCACTACCATTCAAATGCCATTGACTCTCCCACGCATATGCCAATATGTATACGGTAGGCGGAGATTTAAAATTTATCTTTCCAATAGCACAAATTCTCGTCAGTTTTCTATTTCGTTTGAAACGACATTAAAGTAGAATTCTACTTACCGTTATTGCAGCCCAGATCAACCAGCGAATAACTCGACTCGCATGTCCTTCAAATGTTATTATTATACGACCCGCCTGGAAAAATAAGACTTCGTTAATAATGTTTTAAACAGGAAGGGGTTTGGTGGGTTATTATCGTTTAAAGTCTTAGCAACTGGTTTATAAGACAATAGACTTTCAGGATGACGATAAGAAATGAAATTGGGTTTAACGTCCCACTTCTCTGCACCGACTTGGATAATAACGACAGGCGGGCATACAATATGGTATGAGGGAAAGTTTGCCCAGGCAGTGGCGCTATGGCCTTTTCTTGTTTCGAATTTCAATTATCAAGGGTTCTCGGGTGTTCGTCCCATAGATCCCGCCCTTGCATCACTGACAAGGGGTATCCATACAGGAAAATCCCGAAAAACATTCTTGGTCAATACCGGGATCGAACCCGGAACCTCCTGGTTAGCGAACCGGCGTCTAACTCGCTGAGCCACCGAGGCTTAATTTAAAGGTTTTGTGTAATGATAAAAAGATCCAATTTGACAGACACCACGTGGACTGTATTATGTACAAATGTAACCGGCTGCCATATCCCTGACAACAAAATTACTTCAAATGATTCGAACAGAACTTTGCATCGTCCAACCACCCTCACCTACACAGAGCGAGTACAATGAATCCGAAATATCACCGCTAAACAAACTGTCGCCGACAAAATATCAAACTGGTCCTACGAAATAATGATTCATACATACCACTAATCCCAGAAAGCACAGAAAGACTGATGTCAAAACTCCAAGTATTCCTTCCGGGTCATGGGCCATTGATGTTTGATAGATGACCTATAACAAAATAGACTTTAATATAAACTACGCATGACATTATCTGCAACATTCATTGTTTTTCCAATTAATTCTAATCTTTGAAAACAGATGACAGAAAATAATGCATTATTTTTATATTCCATACGGGTGACAACGGTATAACATAAACTGAGCTGATCGGTGGCGTGGGATATTGACAGATATGATATAAACTGACCTGTGGAGTGGGATATTGACAGATATGATATAAACTGACCTGTGGAGTGGGATATTGACAGATATGATATAAACTGACCTGTGGAGTGGGATATTGGTAGATATGGTATAAACTGACCTGTGGAGTGGGATATTGGTAGATATGATATAAACTGACCTGTGGAGTGGGATATTGGTAGATATGATATAAATGACCGGTGGAGTGGGATATTGGTAGATATGATATAAACTGACCTGTGGAGTGGGATACTGGTAGATATGATATAAACTGACCTGTGGAGTGGGATATTGGTAGATATGGTTTTCACCTAGAACAACTTTATCGATATATTGAGCAGCTCCAGCCGTACAGTTGACATGCTTACCACCATCACTGATACCACCGGGTCCAGTATAACCTCTAAAATAACATAATCATACATTATACCACCTGGTCCAGTATAACCTCCAAAATAACATAAATATGGCGATGACGTCAGTGTAAAATGGCGTTAAAGTGAACATGAAGCCAATATAAAGTGACGTTAAAGTGAAAATGACGTCAATGTAAATGACGTAAAAGTAAACATGACGTCAGGGTAAAATGACGCTAAAGTAAAATGACGACAATGTAAAATGACGTAAAAATAAACATAACGTCAGAGTAAAATGACTTTAAAGTAAATAAGACGTCAATGGAAACTGAGGCTGGAGTAAACATAAATTCAATGTAAAATGACGTTAAAGTAAATATGACGTCAAGGGAAACAGAGGTTAAAGTAAACGTCACTTCGATAAAAAATGACGTTAAAGTAAAAATGACGTCAATGTAGATTTACATGACTTAGTGAGAAGTTACGTTATAGTCCTGAAGGTTTGTTTACCAAATGACGTAAATTTTAAATAGATGCTGGAAATGCTAAATATAGAGATTAGGCCTACATAAACCTGAAGTCTATAAACGATGATATAGTCAATGCACCTGCTATGCCGTTTATTGCTGGCCTTTCTGTTTCACTGCAATGTATTAATAGAGTAATTAATTTATAAACAAACTTACGTTGGACAGCCGGGAACAGGTAGAGCATAAGTTAAACCAATAAAAACAGCGAGGATGGCTAAATTTAATATCCACATTGGTAGACTTAATACAATATCTCGTATAGGTGCCCACTTAGCTTCCTGAAAAATAACACAAAAATACATTCACGGTGCGTTTTTCTGAACTAGGACCCACCCATCATGTACTTATCGTTTCTGTCTGTCGAATTAAAAACCACGCACCATGTACGTATCTCGAATTAGAAACCAGGGATCGTGTCTGTCTGTCAAATTAGAAACCACGCACGCACCATGTACGTATCTCGAATTAGAAATCAGGGATCGTGTCTGTCTGTCGAATTAGAAACCACGCACCAAGTACGTATCTCGAATTAGAAACCATGAAATGAAATGAAATGGGGTTTAACGTCCTACTGTTTTGCTCCGAACTGGGCTAATGAAGACGTTAGAAACCATGGATCATGCCTGTCTGTCGAATTAGAAACCACGCACCGTGTGCGTATCTCGAATTAGAAACCACGGATAATGTCTGTCTGTCGAACTGGGAATCATGGATCATGTATGTCGTTCTATAAATTCAAACCGTGGTCAAGAAAACAGTTTACCAATCAAACAGCATAATAAATACGGTTGTCTCCCTTGCCACATACATTTAATATAAAAACGAACCTGATGTGAATCTTCTCGTCTGCCCAGGAAGAATTCCATTAAAGCTAGAAATAAATATGTTACACCAAATCTTTGCAAGACACCAGGTATTCTCATAGTCTCTAGATCCACAGCTGGAATAGAATCAAACATTGATATATAATCAAACTTTTTATATGAAATGATTTAACGTTGTACTCTTCCAATGAAGACGGACATACACCATGCAGTATGCTATCGGAATGATTTTACCAGGACATCGGCGCTGCGGTCCACTCTTATTTCGGATTCCAACTGTTAAGGATTCTTTTACGTTCACGCCAGTGTGTACACAGGACCTCATTTTTTCGTCCTAACCAAACGACTAGACGTTGTTCTGTGTCAGACCCTCCTTCCTGAATCCTTGACAAAGGGGAAATCACGCCGCAATATTTCAAGGAGCTAAAACAGATTGGGTTATTTCAAAGCCATAAAGAGCCAAATATAAATAGTCTGGCCAACTGGTCGCCATTTTGTTACCCGATCTGTAAATTTAATTGATCCACATTAGAATAAAGCTAATATAAATAAATGATTGTAACCCAGTGACAGACAGAGCTATGTAGGCCTATAGAAATAGTCGGGCAAACGGCCATTTTGTTACCAGATCTGTAAGTTTAAATTGATTCACATTAGAATAAAAGTAATATAAATAAATGAGTGTCAGTGAAAACGAACGGAATGATAGTTCTCAATAAGATTTAGTGAATCAGAGGCAGAAACTGTATAAGAATCTATAATTGTATCCCACAATGATTACACATAAAAAGCCATGTTGTTATACAATCTCTGTGTATATGGCTCTAGATTATTTAATAACGGATTCCGCTCTTGCTTTACCGCTTTATGGTGACTTGTAAATATGTTAGCATTACACCCAATTCTATAGTTATATTTTAATATTTAAATATAACAGTACTTGCATTATCATTTGAGAATTAAACCCACGTCCTCAAAGGTCCCATTAAAGTAAATTCTTACTTAAGAAAGTAGTTGTCTAGAGATTAGCCGATGGAACTTTACTTTATATAGGATTAGTTATAGAACAATAAGCCAACAGGTTTAAGGATTAACTATTAGAAGGCATCATAATATAATAAGATTATTTGTACTCACGTCCCCAGCTTGTGTTGAGAATTATTCCCAGTGCAAAGAGAATAAAAGATCGTTTACATATCTTAAAGATAATCTGGTAAGACGTTTTCTGACGTTTGTGCATACTCTTAAAGGAGAAATTCATTGACGTCCCCATGATGAAGATGAACCTAAAGGGAAATAAAATACAACACTTTATAGAAGCAAATTTATATATCAGACTGTTGTGGGTATTGTATTATACAGTTATGCAATGGGCATCTCCTTTATAATTTTACGGTAATAAGTTAAAGATACATTATGGGAGATAAGATAAAGAGATGGCAGTTCTCGCTAAAATAGTTAAAAACAAGATAGTGTAAAGGTAATTTGCTGAAAATTTCAGTCAAATTGATCTACTATGAGCCGAGAACGAAGCGGGTGACATTTTAGCATAGTCTCGATCATCATTACTAAAATCATTAATATAAACAGCACAGTCTCGATTATCCACTGTTTTGATTTAATTATCAATGGCCGTTAAGCGGCATATAAGAATCTAATCCAGCCAACATCGAAGGCTAGCCTTGACATCGAGAGTTTATTTATTATGGTCTGGATAAGTTAATTAATGTCTAATTGATAATTTAGATAACATTTCAGGCCTAAAGAAAAACTTGTAATAAGCAGATTTTGCTCTTGCATAATGCATGTTTAAGCTGCACGTGCGACGTTGTACTGTGGGACAGCTATGGCGGAATACTAGAGAAGACAGCGTTCTGCTAGATATCATGTATGTCATGAACTATTGCTGTTAGTCAGCAGATGTCTGTTAGTCTTTTAATATATTTTATTATTGGTGACCATGGTGTTCCGCTAAAACCCTACACTCTCTTGATGTGGGTTCATGCGGCTAACAATTTCCCTCAGATTGACATTTTTAAAGATATATTATGTAATTGTTCAAAAAATAGATCATATAAAATGAATATATTGAAAATTTCATTTAAATTGCTTTATTCTGGGCCAAGTTATCACTGTAGTTTTGTCAAGATGTGTGGATTGATTGTTCATTATCGCAACCACGGTTCTGCTATTTTCGAGACATAGAATCGCTCCTCCATTTTTAAATTAATTCATTAAATGGCCGAACCGTTCTAATCTAGTTAAAATCTCGAGCAGACGATGGCATCGAGAGTTGATTATTGTCATGTCATGTTAATAATTAATGTCTAATTAATAATTTATTTAACATTTAAGGCCTAAAGAATGATCTGAAATAGGCAGATTTAGCTCTTGCCTAGCGTATCTTTAAAAGCCTCGTACCTTGTAAACCCGAGAAACATCTTGTATAATGTATTTTTAATCGCCTGTGGTGTTTTGTTCTGAAGACACCATGCGTTGTCGTTTGAAATCAACCGGTTTATAACAAATCATTAAAAAGAGGACGAGTTTTCGAGAATCCAGGGAATCTCTTCTCAGTGATCCGGAGAGTCTGTTCTCAAGGATACTGCGAATCTATTTCCAAGGATCCGGAAAGGTTGTTCTCGGGTAAAATCCCTCTCCATTAATTCTGTCTGCTCAACGTATTCAAGAACAAGGTATACAGATTATAAAATATGACATCTCTTACCAGGGAAATACAAGATCAGCAACAGAGAGACCATTCCATGGAGGATGTTCAAAGAACCAATATCCTCCTCCTCCATAGTTCACAAATATCATGACCACCAGGGAAATACTAAAACAGATATAGCGAAAACAATTAACCAGGCCCCGAGATCACAAAACATTCTCAGACTTAAGTTAAGAATTTACTCAAAATTGTTCGCCTTATTTTAACTAAAATATAGACCTTTATAAAACTTTTGTTGTTTTAATATATGTGAAAAGTTTTGTGTTTCTGGGTCAAAGATATTTCTCATAAACAGTGATTGAAATTTTAGTAAATTCTTAACTTAAAGAGATTCGATAACGAGTTGGCAGTTCTCACTATAATAGTCAAAAACTAAATAATGTAAAGGCAATTTGCTGAAAATTTCATTCAAATTGATCCACTATGAACCGAGATCTAACGGTTGAAATTTCCGGCTAGCCTTGATCATCATTACTAAAGTCAGTACGATAAACAGCATAGTCTCGATTATCCATTTAATCGCTAAATCGTGAAGGAAAGTTATGCAGTAAATCGGCTCATAATTCACTAAAGATCACAGGCTAGCGATGCCATCTAGAGTTGATTATGGTCTGGATAGGTTAATTAATGTCTAATTAATAATTTAGATAACATTTCAGGCCTAAAGAGAGACCTGCAATAGGCAGATTTAGCTCTTGCATAATGTATGTTTAAGTCTGCCCAAGTCTTTTTCCGTGAATATAGATGATCAATGATTTTTAAAGATATGAATAATAAGTTCATTTATTGGGATTTATTCTGTGTCACCGGGTGTTGTGTTTATTTCCCCTGCTAACTCACCCTCTTAATGTGTCCAAACACCGCAATCTTTCCTTTTTCTTCTCTGGTTTAGATTTCTCCGTCGATGTGGCAACAACGCCATTTTCTACTTCCGATGGATCTTTGGTAATGCTACTCAAACTCTGTAACAAATTACAAGAAATTAGAAAACAATGCATAAGTAAACTTGGAGAATTTCAAGAAATATTTATTCTGCTCCCATTTAACGAAATTGAAAGTTTTTATTTAGTCTCTCTCTCTCTCTCTCTCTCTCTCTCTCTGTATGAAAGATGTAAATGGATTAGAACCATATAACAAAACCGTATACTAATTGGACGAATTCTCAAAATACCCAAGTTGATTGGCCAAAGGGAATAAATCTCTGATAGGAAAGTGGTACCACGTGTTCATGAAAGGGTAAGGATGCTCTGCCTTGTGTACAACACCTGTCACTATCATTTTTCTAAATGAAAAGCCGGGTTTGATAAAATTGAAACTAAATCGAAAACATGAATGAAATGAAGTGTTTAACGTTCTACATTTCTGCATCAACCGGGCTAACGATATAAAGATGTTGAGACATGTTATTTTTAATTTTAAACAATTGACAGATTATATTATATCATTTCCAAATAGAATTATACTGCTGAAATATTTCTACCAATTCTAAAACGAATAAATTTTCATTTCTCACATTTCACATACGTATAGTATGCACAAGTATCATGAGTCAATTATCACGTGATATTATAAACTATAAATAGAAAACTTACTATGACGTTACCATTATCCATAGGATCAGTTATATTAGCACTCTGACCACAACAATTAGCATCACGTGCTCGGCTGAAAATATTCAAAAATAATTTAGTAAACAATTAGCAATTTCTTTCTTGTGGTTTTTTTTCTGAAATGGTAAAAGATTATAACGTGATTATAAAAATAATTACGGAAAGTTCAAAAGAACTGTCATTTCTAATTTTGTTATATTTTTGTTGGGGATTTTTTTTGTAACTAATAAGTAATCCAGTTATTTAATAAAACAACATAAATTTGTTTATATACATTTTGAATTGAACGGAACCGGAAGTAGAAAACACGTGTTCTATATGTAGGCCTACCTGTATATTCTGCTGATTAAAGTCCATAATGCTGCTAAAGCTATTAAACCCACAAACGTGTATAATATGGCTGTAATATAAAAACAACACGTGTATAATGTAATTGTAATATAAAAACACGTGTATGATGTAATTGTAATATATAAACACGTGTATAATATGGCTGTAATATAAAACAACACGTGTATAATATAGCTGTAATATAAATCAACACGTGTATGGCTGTAATATAAAACAACACGTGTATAATATGGCTGTAATATAAAACAACACGTGTATAATATGGCTGTAATATAAAACAACACGTGTATAATATAGCTGTAATATAAAACAACACGTGTATAATATGGCTGTAATATAAAACACACGTGTATAATATGGGTGTAATATAAAACAACACGTGTATAATATGGCTGTAATATAAAACAACACGTGTATAATATGGGTGTAATATAAAACAACACGTGTATAATATGGCTGTAATATAACATTATAGAGTCATATAGTTTTAATGTGATCTATTTCGCTCCATCTAGCAGTGGTAGGATTCGTGCTTATAGCTGTGTATGCCTGCTATTTCTACATCACTTCCTGGCTATTTACATCTCTTCTCTTTTTTTACATGCCCATATTTAAAGGGGTCGTATATTGTCGTCACTCTTGTCTTTGCGTCAGTCCATCGCCCTACAAGTTAAAGTCATCGCCTGATCTGTAAACCATGTTGATATGAACGAGACCAGGAATTCCCGATAATGAATGTCCGAGATATAAGCCACGGTCTCTGTGAATTATCTAATGAAAGATACAGCGGCATAACTAATATATATTTTTAAGTAAGACTGTGATTACTTTTGTGAACATGTGAGGGATTTATTAGCTGCTGTGGGTGTATGTTGTATTTGCTGGCAAACTTGCTTTAATTTAGGTTCATGGTCATCGACAGAAAACTTATAAACCTTTTCCGTGAGGCCTATAAAATGGGTTTCATTGATGTTTGAAAATCATAAGCAGGATGAAATAATCAAAGACCGAATGTTTTAATCACCTTGACGACGCGTGCTACAAGGAATTAACAACACGTTCCAGGCATGCCAAGGTGTGAAGTCAAGGTCATATATCCGTGACCTTCCTGTGTCGAGATTTTCCAGGGATTGAGACTTCTAACATGTCGGGTAATACTTGACAGGTCGTTGACATACCAGACGTATTTAAGGGTAACAATCTGTTTGTTTTAATGTATGATGTTTATTTACTTGTGGTCGAGGAGAATCCTCAACGTTATTTACTCTCTTCTCCCATACTGTATTGTTACTTTGTCTCATGTCCGTCGTCAATCATATAAATACACATGATAAATGGTAATAAATGTTATAATATTTTAGCAATGTGAAGTGGTATCGGGTGTTCTAGAATGAACACGCGAAATGAAATGGAATGGGTTTGTATTGACTGGGATAATGAACACGGGCATACGCCATACAGAAATAGAGAGAGAGAGAGAGAGAGAGAGAGAGAGAGATGGGGTTTAACGTCCACTCGACACAAACTAGGTAATTTCGGGACTAATTTGCTTGCGCGTTGGGGTCTTTAGCAGTGGGAGGAAACCGGAGGACCCGGAGAAATGAACAACCATGGCTTCCCATATATTATCGGGTGTAAAGCGGTATCAGGTGACGGGGAGGTGAAACTTGTTGTATATGGGAACATCACAATAAATGGGACAGAGGAGGTGAATTTTGCCCTAACAGCAGAGATTCCGCCTAATTTTCTAAATACCAAGGGCTATTTACATATAGGCATCACCATCGCAGCGGTTTAAAAATTTGTTAATGTACTTTGGCCCATCCCTACCGGTAGGGAGAGTGAGCCAAATGTTTTTGGTAATACTACCTAGACAACCACTAACAGGTGCCCCTACCTGCACAACCACTCACAGGGGTCCCTACCTACACAACCACTCACAGTTGTCCCTACCTTCACAACCACTCACAGGGGTCCCTACCTACACAACCACAAACAGTTGTCCCTACCTGCACAACCACTCACAGTTGTCCCTACCTGCACAACCACTCACAGGGGTCCCTACCTACACGACCAATCACGGTTGTCCCTACCTACACGACCACTCAAAGTTGTCCCTACCTACACAACCACTCACAGGGGTCCCTACCTACACAACCACACACAGGGGTCCCTACCTACACGACCACTCACAGTTGTCCCTACCTACACAACCACTCACAGGGGTCCCTACCTACACAACCACACACAGGGGTCCCTACCTACACGACCACTCACAGTTGTCCCTACCTACACATCCACTCACAGTTGTCCCTACCTACACAACCACTCATAGGGGTCCCTACCTACACAACCACACACAGGGGTCCCTACCTACACGACCACTCACAGTTGTCCCTACCTACACATCCACTCACAGTTGTCCCTACCTACACAACCACTCACAGGGGTCCCTACAAACACAACCACTCACAGGGGTTCCTACCTACATAACCACCAACAGAAATATATCACTTCTAACACAATAACAAATATGTTTAGTTTAGTACAATATAGTTACAACATACATAGATTAACAATGTCCATGTCTTAAGACGGCCCTGGGTTATATACAGAGTTATCTTCGCATGAATTACGTCATTTTTTAGAAGGGCGGGTTATTAATTAGTGAACCAAAGTGAGGCTAAGATGTGAGAAAGTATAAAACTTACGCATCTCTGCTGGCGCTGGATCATTACTTAAGGTCAAATGACATAAACTACCATCTGTATAACTTTCATAATCTAAAAATACCCAATAATCACCACTCTCACGAAACTTGGTCTCAAAACTGAAATAAAAATATACATTAATATACATTCTCACTTAGTCTCAAAACTGAAACAGAAATAGGTTTTTGTTATATTCATCTATTCATGTTATTATTATTATTATGTATCAGAGGAGACTTGTTTTTGGCCAATAAAATACGAATGATGTGAATGAAACAGAGACAGTAAAAGGGATAATGAGGACGGGCATGCGCCAATCAGTTAATGCATGCGCCAGGCAGTGTGCATGCGTCAGGCAGTGTGCTATGAGGGAATGTAATCCCGGCAGAAGCGCTGCGATCAATTCGTATTTGGATTTCCACTTGTGAGGGGACCTTTAATATTCTTCCCAGACCCTACGTTCTTCACAGATTGGAAAATTCAAAGTCCAGTCATTTTAAGCACAGGTAAAGGGACATTCCAAATAAAAAAAATGAATATGATATTGTATTTTAAAACAAATAACTTGCTCAAATATTTGATAAAAACAATAAATTGAAATGTTTGATAGAAAAAAAGTAAAATGTAATATTATTTTGTCATCAATGCAATATCTTACCTGCAGATGTCTTCTACATGTTTTGTTGGATGAACTCTGACGAACGTCACCCGTGTAACAAACGTGGTATTCACCAGGATCGTGGTAGCGTTGATACTGCGGAACTGTGACACGTACTGCATCGGACACTAAAATATAATATTTTATTTGGTAGATATATTTTCAAACGGTAAATTTAACAACAATGTATAGAATTTGTTTTAATTTAACAACCGAGTCAACTTTTCATTGATTATGTTTTAAATTTAACACACCTGGGGCCTTATTCACCTAAAATTAAACTAAGATATTTTTGTTGAAAGACAGATTCCTAGTACATATTGTTGCTCGTATCCAATGAAAAATCTGGATTCTTAAAGTATTTTAATTTAAGAATTCATGAATAAGGTCCCCGGTATAAAATGAAATAAAATGGGGTTTAACGTTCTACTGTTCTGCTTCGACTGGACATACACCATGTAGTGTGCTATGAAGGAACTTTTACCATACGGCCTACTCTTATATCGAAGTCAAACTGCCAAGGGATCTTTTACGTACACGCCAGTATGTACACGGGACCTCGGCTTTTCATCCGAGCAGAACGAGTAGACAGGGCTCATGTAGAAGGAAAGATAAAAAATGTGTTGTCATGTGTTGTTGGAAACATTGCCCCCCCCCCCCATTTGTGTCTAGATAGAACATGTCTATATGGTACGACCAGATAGTCGCGATTATCAGGTCATACAGTGTGAGAAGCATTGTTATTTGAGTTATGCAATTATGTTGGGCATTTTGGCCTTCTTTTCTTAACGTCACACTAGTTTGAGCCACCAATTGCATCGTCGTATGTCCTGCGTCATTTATGACAGTTACGTTTAGCTCAGAAATAACCAATCAGAATCGGGTAAAACCACTTACATTATGACATTCTTCAGTTTGTGCCATCATATAGAGTATAAAATTGACTGATGAGTTGACTGTCAACCAGGCTTTATCATGTTCTATCTTCGGTTTATCGTCGCCATGTTTGTTGTTATACATCACGACAAAATTATCCTTCACAGACATATCAACCTCTGTACCATTTTCTCCACGTGTAAAACCTGAAACAACAAACAATTTACACAAATAAAATGGTTGTTTAAAGGGGCATAATGAGAGATTAGACAAAATAGTTGGCAGTTCTCGCTATAATAGTTAAAAATTAGATAACGTAAATAGAGCATGTTGAAAATTTCAGTCAAATTGCTCCACTCGGAACCGAGATATTAATTTTTGAATTTTAGGCTAGCTTCGATCATCATCACTAAAGTCGGGTACGACAGAAAACAAAATCTCGATTATCCAATTTTAATCATCATTCACAAAATGTATTCCAATCCACTAAATATCGCAGGCTAGCAATGGCATCGAGAATTGATTATGGTCAGGATAAGTTAATTAATGTCTAATTAATAATTTAGATAACATTTCAGGCCTAACGAAAAGCCTGTAGTAGGCAGATTTAGCTCTTGTATAATGTATGTTTAAGGTACAACGTTTCAGCATCACCCTGTCTAACATACGCCATGCCATGTGTCCGGGCACTGATGTTACCGTCTACTCTTTCTCGAAGGGTGCATGTCAACGTGAACCTTGGTTTTTTTTGTGTCCTATCCGAACGACTAGATGTTTTTTCCTTGTCAGACACCCTTGCACCACTGACAAAGGAGCATCAGGCTGGAAAATCTAAACGAACTTTCCCAGCCAACCCGGGGGCTCGAACCGTATCCATTGAACCACGCACTGAACTCATGCAGTTCAGTTTAGTTGATACAGTGGATTGGTTCACTGCCCAGCAGACAATATTTGTCCACTAAGGTTTACGTCAACCCGACACGAACTACTTCATTTCAGGACTAACATATGGTTCAATTGTATTTCAGTCGTATTTTATCTAGCAGTGAAAAGGAATAGGTAAAATAAAGATAGACAAGTGTTAGTAGGTAGGTGATTAATCTAGTATTACTGACGTCATATTCAGTCTGATAGTTAACACCATTATACCTTACGTCCTTGACACCCGCAACATTTTCTGCCAAACATTTAAAAATGGTGAAAGCCGCAGATAGAAACGTATTCAAAAAAAAGCCGGACATGGTGAGATCTACCTGCTCATCACCTGGCTTTGATCTGTACCGACATCACTTTGATATATGCCGCTATCCCTCAATGTTATCTTTACCTGAGCACAGGTACATCTTTTACTTATCTTTTTATTTACCATGCCAAAGGTCAATTTATAAATGTTAAAGAACCGAAGTTCGTATTACATGCCTCAAGTTTATAATGTAATATCGTGGTAAACAGGTAGATATTTTAAAAGTTGTTTTGACACGACAGTTGGAACAAATCAGCCGAATCACCATTCGTCACATCTGTGTTATTCGCGGGTGTGGTGGATAGCTCTGCGACAAATCATCCAGGGACATGATCATCATAAGCAAGCTTATTACTTTCTTACAATTACTATAGCGAGAGAGAGAGAGAGAGAGAGAGAGAGAGAAATGGGGTTTAACGTCCACTCGACACAAACTAGGTCATTTCGGGACAAACATGGTTTAATTTTATTTCAATAATTCGCTTGCGCATAGGGGTCTTTAGTAGTGAGAGAAAACCGGAGGACCCGGAGAAAACCCACGAGGTTGGACAGGCGACAATTACTATAGCCTATCAAGTCAAATAAATACAAATACCAAAATATATCTTTCATTAAAGATACATTATGGGAGATAAGATAAAGAGCTGGCAGTTCTCACTATAATAGTTAAAAACTAGATAGTGTAAAGGTAATTTGCTGAAAATTTCAGTCAAATTGATCCACTATCAGCCGAGAAAGAAGCGGGTGAAAATTTTGCATAGTCTCGGTCATCATTACTAAAATCATTAATATAAACAGCATAGTCTCGATTATCCACTTTTTTCAATTTAATTATCAATGGCCGTTAGCGGCATATACGAATCTAATCCAGCCAACATCGAAGGCTAGCCTTGACATCGAGAGTTTATTATGGTCTGGATAAGTTAATTAATGTCTTATTGATAATTTAGATAACATTTCAGGCCTAAAGAAAGACTTGTAATAAGCAGATTTTGCTCTTGCATAATACATGTTTAAAGGTGTGTTTTATAAGGTTCTTATATTTATAAGTGAAAGTTTATTGATGTGGTTAGTGCATAGGTGTTGATGTTGTAATATTTGTGTACAAAACAAAACAGCGCCACTCACTAAAGACCCGTCGTTGTAGGGTTTTAGGCGCTCTATAAATAATGTAGTACGGTGTGTCTACCGTACTAGCGGATATCAATTATTCCAATGTTATCAATTTATATTATCAATTTGCCATGTCTCACAAAATCATCAACAAAGTGGGTTTAACGTCCATTCGACACAACTTGTGTATCACGTTTGACAGTATCGTCAAGTGGCGTAGTTTCGACCAAAAACTTGTTCGTGACAAGGAGTGGGTTCGCCCGCACTGTCTCGTGGGTTTTCCCCGGGTCCCATGGTTTCCTCTCACTGCTAAAGACCGATATTGACATAAATTTCAACTATGTGTTAGTCCGTAAATGATCTAGTTTGCGTCGAGTGGATGTTAAACCCCATGTCTTGAAGTATCAATCAACATATTATATACTTCAAATAAAGTAGGGGATATTGAAATGCAAATACCTATGCAGGTTGTGGTATGATACATAGTCATGGACACTTGACATGCTTTGAGAGTATGTTCACAGATGAAGAATTTATCGCCCCAACAGAACCACTGAGCTGCAAATGCGACACGCAATAGCGCCATACACGTGGGTTGGGTTCATTGTCAAATTTGACACTTCAAGGAAGGGTTGATGAAAACTGCCACGTGCAGGTTTATCTATCCATGTTAGCATTCCTATCGGTTTATCTATCCATGTTAGCATTCCTATCGGTTCTTGCATAAGACTTACTGTTTAGCGTATCTTTGTTTTAGTGTGTTACGTTTAATTTGATCGGGAGACGTGTTCGTCGACGTCAACGTCAACCGACAACACTGCAAAAATTTGTCGTGGCACTGCATGAGGAGTGGGTCAGATTACCCCAAATCGTGATTGGACGGTTGATTAGGAGCATGCCACGACGAATTGCTGAATGTCTGAGGATTGGTGGAGCAATTACTCATTATTAAGACAAAAATCAAAAACGTCCATTTTCACTTTTGACGGTGTATCTCTTTGCGAGTGAAATGGGGCCGTCAGATAAGCCGCCCATATGAACTGTTTATGTTCATGTGTAGGCAAATGGCCTGTTATTAACATACACTGGTTACTTCTAATAAAAACAGCAGTGCATTTCCGCAGTTTTGTATTGTTTCTAAATATCCCCTACTTTTTTGGAAGAGTATAATTATATCAATGCCATGAATATCGACCGCGCCAACAAAGAACTAAACACACGTATGTTTTAGTCTATTTGTAACAATTTGTTTTAGTCTACCTTTAGCAATTTGTATTAAACTATTGTCAGCAATTTTCATTAAAGGGGCAACATATACCACATTTTAAGTCCACACAGATTAGTCCAACAATTATTCAAATCAAACTCGACAAATCTTAACACAAGTTACATCCATTTTAAGATTACGATATTCTCTATTGATTTCCTGTCGCCATCTTTATGTTTCTAAGAGGTTTTAATTATATCTGTATCCGCTAACATCGACGCCATGACAATTTTAATGCAACACTCTTTGTTTTAATCGTCTTAAGTACTAAACAACACATTCTCCTTATATTTGTTTAATTTAAAATTGAAGTTGTTAATGCCCTTCTGGCATGTTTACCCTTTAAACTGATAAAACTGATTTTCTCATTTAAACCCTACCAGTTTGATTTTTCGTATTATTTCTTCAGGAAAAAGACTAATTTAATCACCAAAAGTACTGTATAAAAAGCTTTGAGTTCCATACCTTAGGTAAGAATTGGGTGGATTATTTATTGAACAAGACCTCAAAGAACTACACATTAAATTGATTGGTCCTTTCAGCTATTTAAATTATGTTAAGCGACGACGTAGCTTGTATTCTGTTGCTGTTATAATTTTACTACCTGCGACACGATTTTAATTGTCTTTAGAAACTATTGTAATCGTTTTGGGTCTTTTGTTGTTTTGTTGTTTTTCTGTTTTTAAATTGTTTGATGCTAAGGTAAATTAGAAGTAAGCAAATGCCTTTCTATTGAACACAGGAACAAAAACACAAAAGAAGCTCAGTTGAAGGTAAGACCGCCAAGGGTACACAGTTTAAAAACAATTCGCCAACGGTAGCTGAAAATAAATCTTTCTTCATCCTTTAGTCAACAAGATAAACATAAAACAAGCCGACAGGACAGGTAACAGTAGCACAGGTAGACATAAAAGGCACCGATAAATACCTAATTAGTCCCTTAAATCAAGGTTTTACATGACTTAAAGTACATCCTTTACTGTCTCTAACAAACTCGTGAATCTGGATACAAACACGTACATTAATATTGATTCAAACTTACTAGACGTTTTATAAAACTGTTTCAATTGAAGACGTCACTAAAATCTTTTACTACAGGTGGTGAATTACAAACAGAGTACTGATTACAATACAATATCAGACATGATAGACATGACAAATCAGCTTGTATACGATATTTGACATAATACGATATGATCAATCAATTTGTATGGATATATGACAAAATACGATATGATCAGTCAATTTGTATGGATATATGACACAATAAGATATGATCAATCAATTTGTACGGATATATGACATAATAAGATATGATCAGTCAATTTGTATAGATATATGACACAATACGATATGATCAGTCAATTTGTATAGATATATGACACAATACGATATGATCAGTCAATTTGTATAGATATATGACATAATACGATATGATCAATCAATTTGTACCGATATATGACATAATAAGATATGATCAGTCAATTTGTATAGATATATGACACAATACGATATGATCAGTCAATTTGTATAGATATATGACACAATACGATATGATCAATCAATTTGTATAGATATATGAC